AACCATAATAGACATCACTGGGGCGGCAGCTCCAGGTTTACCACACAGAAAGGGAATTCAAGTTACCTCATCCTTTCCCAAGGCTACATCACTGGGGCGGTAGCCCCAGTTGGTGCACACCAAAAGGAGAATTTTATTTGGTAAGGGTTACAATCCCTAAGTGCGGCCGAAGGCCGCCTACACAGAAAGGTGTTCTCTGCAAAAGGTGTTCAGCTCCGCTTCTTCGGCAATACGGAAAGGAGAATTCTACTTTGTAAGAGTTATGATCCCTAAGCGCGGCCGAAGGCCGCCTACGCAGAAAGAAGTTCTGGGCAAAAGAAACTATGATATCACCCACACTTGTCACTTGCTTGTAAATGCTTTTAATTTTTTTATCACTGAATTCTTAAACCTCAAAAGTAGATCATAATAAAATATGTATATCAAATTAAAGGTAAGAACTTGCACTTTTTTAAATAATATATATTTCTTTAGCATTGATAAAGCACTTTTTTCTAAAAAAGGTTATTTTATGAAAAAATTATAACATTTTATTTGTTTTTTAATATTTTTGGCTTAAATATATAAGCAAGCAAACACATTTTATATAAAACATCACAAAAAATTTCTTTAACCTTTTATATCTTCTTCACTTTTTAATTGCGGCAAATATACGAAGAGTGTCAACGTGAATATACGTGCATTTGATTGCTCTGCAATAATTTGTTATAAATCGAGATATTTCAAACTTATATTCATGTAAAAACTCGGCTGATGGTTTTACGAGATAGTGACTCTATACCAGTAATGAAATATTTATAAACAAGTTGTAAATTTCCAATTTACCTCGTATTTAGCTAGCGGATTACCGCGGATTGAATTTTAAGTTATTTAATGCGTGTGTTCTCTTTTCTCGCCCAAAAGGAAGTGACCGCCATCTTCCTCCTTTTCTCTTTATTCATTTTCTTTACAGGGTTGCATTACAATAATTCACTTAGACTAGTAGGAGCAGGGTTGCATTACCGACTCCGAATCTTAACTAAATGAAATTATTTTATCCCATGTTACAACTCGGCCAAACCTGACACAAGATCGGCCTCGATCAGAATAAAATCACTCAACTAATCGCTAATGGGTCCTGGGCCCTTACTCTGTAATTCGATACGCAAAGCAATGCGATTCGAAAATCAAATGCGATGCGATGGGAAATTCGCACTCTCTATTGCTTTCGCATCCCCAC